GATTGCCGCAAGGGATAACATTCTGTTTCCCTTAAGTTTTTTTTGTTTTTCTTTCTTTTTTTTTTTCCCCCCCCCCCCCCCCCCCCCGTCAGCGTGCAGCTGACAGCGCCACTGAACAGAGTGACCGACTAGCATAGCTCTTTAGAATAAATCACATCTCGCGGTTTTCTCATTCCAGGGTTCTACAGCTACATGTAATGTTTCAAATACGAGTTGCTGTATTCTATTGGGGTTTCAAAATCCGAGTGGAATTTCAAATGCCGAGGCGCAGCCTCTTGCTATGTTTGGTTTTATTTCAAAGTTCTATTACTTTGAAATATTTCAAAGTACTAGAACTTTGAAATGGGTGCGGTCGTATTTGATGGGGGTTTCAAACTACTGCACGTTGTACAAACCCTGGTTGGTCGATGAGCTCATGAATAATTAATGATATAAGATGCATGTTCACTTACCTTCTGACCCACTGTACTCTCGATTCCAATAACCGCTACCAGAGTAAATTTCGAGTTCACTTCCTCACTGCTCCACTCAGTATCATCAGCTACAAGTACGATACATTTAATCAATCAACATAAAAAAACTTCAAAAAATATTCCCCAGAATCCATTCACTGTACATGTATACTTACTACTTGTTTCCTCTCGTGTCCTGCTTGCAAGGCAAATCACTTTCAGTTGACTCTTAGTTTCCATGACTTCGACAACATCTTGCACTCGTTGGCTTCGTTCAGTGTCTAACGGTTGTTCGCCTTCTGCCGTCATGATATGTGTGCATTTATCAAGCATTACTTCAGGTGCACCTTTACTATAGATCTGGAAAATAATTAGATCATAAAGATTTGATTTGTATTTCTTTAAGCATATCGGGAAAAAATATCCGAGCTCCAGGCGGGAAAATTGATAATTATATAAACTTAATAATTAATATGTTAATTATAGCCTTAATAATTAGATCATATGTTATCACTGTGTAATCACTAGACTATTCAACCATGGTGCATAAAGAGAGGTAAACTAACTTGATTTATCTAAAATATTTCAATTCATTATCATGTCACTTGACCTGATGACTTGTCTCAAACATAATGCATATTAACTTAAAGAAAGTCATACTACAGTAGCTTGATTAATCTAGAATATTTCATGATCATGTCATGTGACTGTCAGGTGACCTGACGTCACGTGACAAAGTTCACATAACTAAATCAAGCGCATGCGCGCATTATTGACAAACCTTGAAATTTTCCTTGTCTTGTCGGACAACGGTTGTCATGAATTTGAGGTCAGGATCAAATGGGAAGACCTTGAAGAAGGTATCTTCTGAATACACTCGTCTGATGTGGCGATAACTGGCGTCGAGATCGTCAGCGAACTCAAGGAGGGCGCACTCTGTGATGTCACCAACAGCTATGATCGTGCCATCTGTATCTGAAAACTGATGGGTAAAAGAGGGGAATTGGGTTATCCTGCGCACTATGCAGGAGCATAATTTCTTATCAGCAACACCATCAGCAGCATGCAGCATCATGACCAGTGCCAATATCATCATCATACATCATCCATCATTCATCATCCATCATCGTCATCGTCATCACCATCATCATCACCACCACCATCATCACCACCATCATCACCACTATCATCGCCACCATCATCATCCATCATCGTCGTCTTCATCACCATCCGTCATCGTCATCAACATCAACATCACCACCTCCACCTCCGTGTTTTACGATGCCATCCAGATCGTCGTGTATTTTTGCGATTCTTTATGAAACATGCGAAACAAAAGAATGCAAATAGTTTTATTATGTTAATGAGCCAGCGATTCGATCGAAAACAACATTCCATTGTCGAAGCGTCATCTGTTATCTGCTGTGTGAAGGACCAACGACCACACTCATGGCCGATCTGACCTAGTTAATAAGCTATAGAACATTCCAGTAACTTAAACTTTTTATTAAAAATCATTAAACTATTTGAAATTTTAGTTTCAAACGACAAAGATGAAAAACAAAAACAACAAAGAAAATTTCATGACAACCAAAAAAGGTCTTTTGAATTTGAAGTGTTATTCCCTCGACCAATATCGTTGTATTTATTATAATTTTCAATTCTAATTTTAATAATCACGTAACTGCAGACGCGACGTTTTTCAATTTCTTTTCATATCTTACACGAACTTTGCGGAAAAAAACACATACACAATGCAATTTCTGTAGGTGTTCAGTAGCGGTACAAATTCAGTGTCAACGAAATAGGTCCATTGATTTTGGCTCCCGATCGTCTCATTTAATATTCATGAAAAGATATAACTAGCTAAAAACTAGTGTGAGCTGCGTCGGTGTTTCTAATGAAACAGTAATGATGAAAAGGTAAATTATACACCGTGAAAAGATGAAAAAACTTACTGACGTTTCGGACGCTAGTCCTTCGTCGGAGTGACTTTGACTCCGACGAAGGACTAGCGTCCGAAACGTCAGTAAGTTTTTTCATCTTTTCACGGTGTATAATTTACCTTTTCATCATTACTATTCAATATTCATTTTAGGTCCTTAAAACATTGTTTTATAATTGCATTATTTTTATTCATCCTCCTTGAAAATTATTTCTTCCCTATTGAAAATTCAGTGCACAACTCTCAGTTTTCTAACTTTACAGCAGTACTTGGTATTTTACAACACTATAATAACACCTTCTTATCTGATGTCACAGCAAAGAGCAGTGTTGTGTTACAACCGAACAAAAAAGATACAGCATTTCTTAAACATTGCTGTTTTGTTGATCCTTATACTACAAAATAACAAGACTGAACAGCTGATTTTTGCCCAAACAAAATGACTTCTTAACTTTGATTTTTTTTGGATGTCTTTATACGAACTATTTCAACGAAATCTGAAAGTGTTTGTCACAGAAAGGAAAGCTGAATAAGATTTTTTATTAGTTTTATTTATAATATTTGAGTAAACAATAGGCATGAGTGCTTTATAGTAAATACTTTTTTTCTGAAGACCAATTTCTTTGTGATGGAAAAAAATAATGTATTACAATAAGCCAAACTAAATGCAGCCAAACTCACCTGTATGTTCGATGTATAGCTGGTGTTAATGGCTATACCATTAGCCAATTCATCGATAATTTTCTCGGGTATCTTTATCTTATAGTCACTAGCGTCACCACGCAAATGTTGCCCATTGATGTAACTCTCTTTCACCTCTTCTTTCATTGGCAAGCTACTAACAGTGGTCAAAACTCCTGTCTTGTTGCAGCACATCGTTGTGACATTCCCCATGGTCTCAAGGATCTCGTCATTTCGTATAAAAATATTCTTCTTTTGCATGTAGCCCAAGGAGCGCGAAATAGTGATTGTCACAGCCATCGGCAATCCCTCTGGTTCGGCAACAATGATAATAACAAACCCAATGATGATGGCTTTGAGGAAATCATTCCAGTGCCTAGGATCATAGTCAAGATCATCAACATTGTAGACCTTGACACTAAAGCTGATTATGAGCACAAGAGCAACGATGAGACCAATGATGATTCCCAGTAAACCTAGAATGGCTGACGCCCGTGTTAGTTTGCCTTGTAGTGTCTGACTTGTTCGCTGGATATCTTCCTGCCTTGTTTCATTTGTACGCTTCTGGGCAAGTATTCCTGCTTGGGTCTTTCCACCTACAGCCAACACGATCATCTTTCCATGACCAACAATGACATGAGTGCTGGTGAAGACAAAAGGGTCCTTCTTGCTCTTGATAACTCTCTTCCCTCGATTTATACAGCTTTCGTCAGTGATGACCTCGGTTATTTCCACAAGGATTCCATCAGCTGGGATGATGCTACCTGCTTTGATTTCACAAAGATCACCAACCTTGATGTCCCTGTAGCAGATCTCTTCTCTCACTCCTCCCCTAATCACTGTTGCCTTTCTTTCGTTCTCTACTTGATTCTGTAGATTATACCGGAACAGGTCTCTGAAAAAATCACTAAAGGCTGACAACAAAATGATCACAAAAACTGTTGCCAAAATCCCAACTCCTTCCATCCAAGCCAATTTCTCTGAGTTTGCGACAGCTTTACCTTGGCATGTTTCGGGATAGTAGTATCCAAGAATGACTAAAATAATCGCGCCTATGATGACTAGAATAAGGACAATGTCGGTGATAGCATACAGAAAATAGTGCGCGATGGACTTGAGGCCAGCATTCGTCCCGCCAAGTCTGTTGTAGCCGAATATTCTTTCTCTCTCGGAGAGCGATTCCCTGACTGCAATAATACCCTTCTTTGTGGAAGTTTGCAGTAGACTCGCTATGCCCTGTACACCACCAAATATTTGGTTAATTTCTTTCTCCTTGTCATGTTCATTGCTGGTCATAAACTCAACCAGATGCTCTACCTCTTCTTTCGACTTCTGCAAGTCTGGTTTCAGCGCCCTCGCCATTACGTTTCTTGTCGATAACAGCAAGATACCTGAGTCGCGTATTCAAGTCAATTCCGAAAATTTAACAGCGAAAATTAACCCTTACGTTAATTTATCCGAAAAAACTCAAAATAACACCATGGAAATATCGACAGGCTCACCGAAAGTGTGTTAGAGAAGTCGCTAAGAAGTTCATAAACAACAAAAACATTCGTGGCCAGCTCCCATAATGATAATAGCGTGATTGCCTTAGCCTATAAAAACCATCTTAGATGTTTTCACTTGACTGCAATTAATTAAGGAGCGAGGACGTCGAATAAATTAGGTAGCTATAGAAACAGATCAAGTTGAATGATTATACTGTTGTGTTTGGCAGGTTCAAATGAAAATAACCTGTTATGTAGAGTAATTAAAGACAATCTCCAACGTCATGAATATTTCAATAAACACTTGAGCGAGTTTGGAAATTTCGGGAATCGGCATATCTTTACGGTTGGTTAGATACTCCTCTTTGAACAATAATTTGGGAATTAGGCTGTCAAAATTAATCCGTTTATAAATTTTCTTTTTTTAGAAATAATTTTTAATCTTGATTTATTATTTTTTTTGTCCTGACGTCGTAGTGTCTCAACAATGGCAAAAAAAGCCTTGTTTTGTTTCGTTATAATCTTGAATTTCGTTGACGTCAATGAAGTCTTCAAATAACACGAACCTGTTCGAGCCTGAAGCGTTCAATATTGGAGTCTAATTCTTGCTTCCAATATCATTTGATGATGATGGCTTATTATTGTCAAATAATTACCCAACTCCTCTACCCAAGGGATGAGCTAAATACTATGAGGGGAAGTCATAACTGATTTAGTTTTCATTATTTATAAAATATCAACCAACTTTAGTATCGTTAGTGCTATTTTTATACGACGATTGGCGATAGGTGTGTTACAAACGAAAGAAAATTCAGCCTAGAGATTTTGTATCGTATGTACTACAGAGCCCGGTTGAACGAAGGGTGGGATAGCGCTATCCAACGGATAAATCCTTATCTAGTGGATAAATTGATGCTGTTATCCAACAAATTTATCCACTGGATAAGATATTTATTCTTCGGATAGTGCTATCCAACCTTCGCACAACCGGTCCAATGTGATTAACAGGTAGTTTATTTATTCCTCACTTTTGGACGCAAATGCCCTATGTTTTGACTAATTTAAAACGCGCTGTTAAGTGGCAAAGCTCTTACTAAAAACTTCAGCTTATTTATCATCTTATTTAATATACTTGAGTCAATACACTTGTTGACTACCTTGATGATTTAGTCAAACACAGTTGTCGTAATGTTGTGGAAGACGGTACATAAAGTAACTATTTGCACTACGTGGCACAACTTTTTACTTTGCAAATATGAATAAATGAATAACGATAGAATAATAAAAGTATTCATAGGTGTAGATTTTTGTAGTAACTTTTAAGTGTAATTCAATTTTCAACAATTAATTCGAATTTTCGATTGCATTTGCATTGCTCACAGTGCAATTCATGGTTCCCACTACCCTTAGTTACCGTTGCTATGTCCACAAGCTCAGCAAATTAGCTAGAATATCTCAGTAATGGATTATAAATTGTTTCTCTCTCTCTCTCTCTGTCCCGGTGAAACTAAAATTGTCTCCTAATCCTTGTAGTACTCTTTAAAACAGATACTGAAGAGATAACTAGCTAAAATTTAGTGTGAGCTGCGTCGGTGTTTCTAATGAAACAGTAATGATAAAAGGGTAGATTTTACAGTACACCGTGAAAAGATGAAAAAACTTACTGACGTTTCGGACGCTAGTCCTTCATCCTTCCTTCCTCTTTTACTCCGATGAAGGACTAGCGTCCGAATCGTCAGTAAGTTTTTTCATCTTTGCACGGTGTAAAATTTACCCTTTTATCATTACTAAAACAGATACTGTGTATCTGTGTAGTTGTTTGTGGGACAAGATTTTGATTCCACCGGGAAACTGCTGCTGCAACAGTAATAGGCAATAGGTAATAGTATGTAAGTCGGTACCTTGAACTGATGCCGCACCGCCGCTATAGTAACAAAAGAAATAACATTTTTAATTTATTAGGAAGTATATAAGTAGGAAACAGTCTGCTAGACATGCAACTGTCTAAGATAATGTTCCTTGGTAGGCGTAATTTCATTCGTTTTTCATTGTGCATGCTCATTCTCACACTGAATGCCTTTGTAAACTATCTTCTTGTTGTGGTGTTGATGAACCTTTATGGCACAAACTGGCATGAAACTTCTTTGGACACGTTAGAAAGTAATGATGATTATCCACTTAAAGAACCCTTATCAGCTAGTCATCCAGAAGCATTACTCTTGAAACGGCGTGTTCACTCACTTAGGTATCTGGATTTGCTCTTCAACAAGACTATCAACGACGATATCTTCTCCAAAGCACAAAGGCAAGGCCCGCAACCTACAGATGTTAGGAATTCCTCTCGCAAAGCCACAGGAATCGTTTTCCCACCAACTTGCCCAACGAGTTTGTTTCTTTTAATTCTCGTACCAATTCGTAGAAAAAGTATTGCCGCTAGACAAGTTATTAGAAAGTCTTGGGGCAACTCAGATAACCAGATAAATCAGTTGTATCTGAGAAGTCGGCTTGATTCTTCGCTTCATCGTGCCTTCACATGGAAAACGATCTTTGTGGTGGGAAGTTCGAGAGGTGCTGCGAAAGACCACATTTTAGAAGGAGAAAGTCGGTGGCATAAAGATATTCTTCAGGTTGATATTCCTGAAAAATATCGTCAAATTCAGAAGAAAGTGATGCTATCTTACGTGGGCAGGTCTGTGGTGCAAATGCAAGTTTGTTTTAAAAACTGATGGAGATGTATTTGTTAATGTTCACCGTGTACTTCCTTGGGTCGAACATCTCATCGAAAATAACATCCTTTATGCCGGTGCTGTTGAATACAATTCTCTAGCCATTCGCGATTGGAAACAACGCCATTTCGTTTCTTTTGAGGATCACCCACAGCCCACGTACAAACCCTACTGCTCTGGAGGGGGTTATTTTATGGCGGGAAATTTTCTCAATAACTTGACGCAGGCTGCAAAGTCGATCCGACCAATCGCTATAAACGAGGATGCTTTTATAGGAATGGTCACCGATTCCTTGGGTGTCGAGCCTTATCATGAAAAAAGGATCCTGCCATATTTGAAATTGTCTTTGGATGGCTTTCTTGGAATTCACAGGGTGTGTGATTGGATAGATAAGTTATTAATGCACATGCGTATTTAACATTCCATATATCAGTCAGCCAATCAATAAGCTAGGAGGCAATTTAGTCAGCCAATCACAGTAAGTATTCAAATTTCTTGGAAATTGTTGTTAGTAATGAAACCAAAGGCTTTTTTGAAATTTTGTACGAACAGGTACACATTCATGTACGAAATAAAATTTTAAGATCGCTCGTATCAAATACTGATTGTCGTTGTCAGTTTCGTCCGCCACACAGCATTTCAAAAAACGTTGTCGGTCTGAGATATTAGTCTAATTAAAGCTTTTGAGCTTATATATGTTTTCTGGCTGAAATACACTCAAACAAAATCACATTTCCAAGTTCAAAGGTCATGCTTCATATTCCAATCTAAAAGGAATCTACGCTGCTTAGCTCTAAATATATTACAATTCAAAGCGAGTTTCAGATTTTAGATTACAGATATTTCATTTTTCATTCAGATATTTCGATATTTCAGTATAGTAAAGTCGCACGTCAATGGAGAACCTTCAAGAACAGGCCTAGTCCTTTTATCCGAACTATTGTAACAGCTCATATCTAAAAGAAACGCTAATGCACTTTGTATTAATTGAAAGAGTTTAGAGATTAGTCGACCAGCAAGTTGCTGAATGATATTTAGGATTAAATAGATCAACCCCGGAGATGTGAAAACGCCGCCTCCGTCATTTTACTCGTTTCTTTGTAAGGGGGCTTTAGAATAACTTGAAAGAAAAACACTTAGAATCTAACAGTATGGTATCTGTTTTAATCAATAAGTTAACTCTTCGCGCTCAATATTAAAAAAACATTCTTTCAACTCTTTGCATAGATATTTTTTCTTATGAAACGCTCAGTTCTTCTTCATCTTCGGTGTGGGGAAATTGTTTTAAGCGAGGCCTCCGAGGTTCGACGGCCGGTTATTGTCGAAATTTGTTTTTTTCGTTAGTGACACAGCAGTTGTCTCATTTGTTTTTCCGTACACAAGTTTATTCTGAATATTTTAGCAACTTTTCGTTGACCTCTTTACTCTCTGCTGTTCATGAACGCAGGGACAGCCGTCAACACGAGTGGTTTATGTCTACCAAGCGTTGAAAACTCCCTTAAAAAACTACTTGTTAGCGTGGTAAGTATCTCGTTTTACGATCAAAGGGCGGGTTTGACATAAGGAAAAAGAAAATGGTTTTCAAAATTTAAAAAAAGTTATTTTGTATTTTTCTTTTTCAATGAGAAAATCAATCTGAAATTTGTAAAGAACAAACTGACTCCTTAGCGCGAGTTTTGAAGCAAAATGCTTAGTAATCCAGCTTCAAAGCACTCATGCTTTTGTAGATGTTAACGGTTCCATCAAACAGTTCCCTGATCAAACAGTGAAGCGGTTCCTTTTGGGGGATGTATTTTTATGAAATCTCATGTTATTATCATCAGTTATCTGTTATATGGGTCCGCTGTAATTATAAACTTACTGTTAAATCGTTGTAAGAAGTAGTCGAAACTCATTCAACTGAAATATTAATTCTTCCAAAATATCGCTACTCGCGAAAAAGGTGATAAAATGGTTGATATAATATTGAATGCTTTCTTCACTAAGTTGATTTTTTTCGGGAAAGGAAGCCGTAGAGAAGGAAAGTTATTTTGCTTTGCCAACACATAATTCTTAGTAAATAATAAATGCAAATGTTTATAAGATCTTATTAGATTCTTATTATTCACAATATTCGAAAATGACTTAGAATTACTTTGAAAAAATGTTTAAAAAATGAAACTTCCAATGTACTTTAGCTTTACAAGAGGAACATTTAGAACTGAGATCATTTCTTGCTTGCTTTATTAGGATTTCTTTTCGGAAGCACTCGACGTTGACAGCAGGTAACATAACAGTGCGCTTCATAGTACGATATGTTTTCAAAACAATGAATTTCTCAATTTTTACTTAAGTTCATATTCCAAATAAGAAAAGAAGCGGTTTCCGCCCAAAACACTTGAGTCTTTTTT